AGGAGAGTGAAACCAGAGTGGGTAAACACGCACCGAGAGGCAAAAGTTGGAGTGTGTCAGACCACTGGGGGATGGCCTACCCACTTTGGAGCCTTCTACTCAAAGGCTTAGTCCTATTGCGATCTAATTAGTGCGAGGGCGCAGACGAGCAGGAAGCAGGCGCCGAATAGCGCTAACAACAAATCAGGACCCCGAATAACCCCTATACAGAAGTTTACAGCGAATTTAGTGGGAATCAGTTGTGGCGCCACCCGGCCCCAAATGGCGCCAGCGTCAAAAATGAGTATCATATCCGTAATGAGGACAGAAGCGTTCCGTAAAAGATGTTATACCCTTATGCAGATGTCTATACAACAATATGAACCCACAAAATGCAAGCACAAGCGACACTATTAAACCCTCGTTCACCGATAATTCGTAAAACACCATTTGTGTGGCATCGCCCGGAATCGTGTAAGTCACAAAACGTTTTCAATAATGAGACAGAATTAGTGATTCACCGCATTTATCAATACAATGGGTGTGAGCGCGGGCAAGTAAGGAATCAGAAACTTACAAATTCACGCATGCAAAAAAGCTGCTCCAATCGCGCGTTCTTCATACCGTAGTTGTTTTCGCTGCGGGTGCGCCAGCCTGCCGCGCGATGTCGCGTTGCGAAGAGCGAAAAAGTCGCGTTCTGTCCTAAGTACCCACACCCCAGGAGTACCTTTTATATCAAGCCCTTTCACCTTGAAATTTTCTCATTCCAACTTTCGCTTTTGCTTCTGGGGGATTCGTGCATAGCACGTTATCTTATCATTAGGTAACATGAGTTAAAGGCAGCGGTTACGATAAATTCAAGAAAGGGTTTAGTGTGACGTGGTGGTGCTCAATGGTACGCCAGTAGCGAAAAAAGCAGAAAAATCCGTCAAGAAAACGCAAAACGGGACCCTTTTTTGGCCGTTGGTTTTCACTCATGAACAGGTAACAGCTCAGAAAGTGGACGTATGAACGAGTTCACCGCAACGCGTTTGATGGCACCATGCCAAACTACGCTTTAATCGAGATGCTCCATTTGTGCCGCTGCTGGCACGCAGCTCGTCCAAATAAACTAGTGGGCGGATCGCTTTTGGGGGCGGAGCGCTTTCGAAGTCCTGCTCAGCAACCAGCGCACCTTTCGTCGTGAAAGCGCCACACCTCGCTTCCCTGGCAGCCAAGTAACTGATTCGTGTGGTGCACATGCTTCCCGATGCGCTCCCTCTTTATCGTAATCGCTTTCTTTAAGTACCAGAACTACATATGATCTCAAAAGATAAGCTATATCAACTTCCACTGAAGCGCCAACGGCCGTGGTTCACTGATACGAATTTGCGATCAACAGGGAGCAGTGTTCCTTTCATTTTGACCATTTTGCTTTTTCTTTCTCACAGGCAGTATTTGGTTGCTACCCTGCTTTCAAGTTTCAATGTTACCAGGGTAGCGCAAGTTTGTCCTCAGTGTCTCTTTCTTTAGAGTTTGACGACATGGAGAGGAAGAACAGCACTGCATTTCGCTGCAAAATACAATAACTTCCGAATGGTAGCATTTCTTTTGGAGAAAAATGCAAACAAGGACTGTCAAGATTACGAGGTTGGTTTTGCTGAAGAGTTTTTCACAACGTATTTTTTTACAAGAGTACCATTGAACCAAGCGGGACTCAAACCCGCACCTCTCACATACCGTGTGGATGCGGTACAAGTCAGGCTTTTCAAAAAAATTTGATTTAGGGTGAGACCATGCCCCAATAGCGTGAATTGTAGCGCACTTGCCCGGAAGCGAGAGGTGCGGGTTCTAGTCCCGCCTGGGGCGAAAGTTTTGTTCACAACCCAGCATTCTTGTGAAACATTCGCAAGGCGAACTGCGGCCAAAACAGCAGTCAACAAACAAAAACAGAACATCTTGTATTCACTGAGATGAACGTTTACGATCGCTTGTTTTCAGTGTTGTACTCCGCTGCATTTGGCTGCGTCGGAAGATCATGTGGAACCTGCGAAGGAGCTTCTAAAAGTCGGAGCCAGTGTGATGTTGAGGAATGATAAGGTTAGCTTAATTTGGGTACGAAGGCAGCATGAAATGCTTTCTCTTGATTTGTATCTTCAGTCTCAAACGCCCTACGATACGGCTCTTGTTAACAACAGCAAGGATGTTGCGGCACTGCTCGCTTCCGGTGATAATCTCCGTGTTCAAATTTACTCTAACAACGGAGAAATATTCGCTTCTTCTTCTTCACCAGGCTTCAAGGTAGATTCAGGATTTGTTGAGTTTTGTACTTTTTTCAAAACTCCTGTTTGTTCAGTGTGCGAAAGTATTGATGGCAAGACATATGCGGAACTCTCGTGGTCCTCTCGCCTCACCCAGATCCACACAGTCGACACCAACACGATGCACTGTTGCCTCTCCATACAATAATTCTGGAACACCTCATTCTGTCGCAGCGTTTGGTTCGAATTACTCGTCACCACAGTACCCGAACCCTATAATCAATGTTGTGGAAGCTTCTCTTCCGTCTCCAAACTGTCATCAGTCAACACGGTATACTGTAAATGCCCATAAACCTTTGTGTGGGAGCGTTGCGCCTTCAGATGGCGTTGTTGTATCATCTCTTTGCGTCGAAGGACAAGCGTTTTCTACCTCAAGAGAGAAGACAGTAAGTTACTTACCAGGTGTATAACCTGCTAGAAAGTTTCCCTAACTATTATTTATTTCTAGGTGATTTCCTCTCCAGGATTCTTTGATTCTGGGTTTGGAACTATGACAGACCGCAGTTCTTATGACCGTAGTGGCCCATGGTCTAGCAGTGATGGATTTTCCAGGTCGAATGAACGGATCGAATCGGCCCATGAATGGTTAGCTGACAATGGTGGATACATTGTCTAGCAATTCATCGGCAAACAGTGTTTCAAACAGTTTTTATTCGTGAAATATTGTACATTTGCATGTTCCATCTTCCTTTTCAAGTCTCCTGATCTCTTACCAGTGGATCCAATCACTTATGTCGGTGTGATTTGTATTGTTATTTTGATACTTTAAGCGTATTTCTATTATAGGAATATAATTCAATTTATCCCTGTGATTATTGTATATAGTTTCGTTTAACCACTCATTTATATTGAAATAAAAGTTTTTGAGAGGCTTTCTCGTTTCCTATTTCGATTTCCGATAGCTTGTGTCTGGGTGAGTTTACAGATGTAGAGCATACGTTACGATTTCTAAAAACATTGTCTTGGAAATGATAATGCGTATAAACGGATAAAAGAGTGAGGAGGTATGCGTTGATGGGACTTCGTGATACGCAGTGCGTTCCGTTCCTGTTCAAGGAGGATTCCACAATGAGAGCGAAGGTCGAAGAAGGGGGAGGGAAGTTATATAGTGGAGAGACAGGGGGACTCCGGGAGTGTGGACCATCACGCAATTCGCATCGAAGAATATGCCCCGGCGATCTAGCATGGCCTCCCTTTTGGCGCAATTGGCCCGGATCGCCTACCGATTCACTCTCCACAGGTGTACGTGGTGAGTGATTAGATAGCAGAGAGAGAGCATTAGCGTTGAAGAGGGCACAAAGATGAGAGTCGCATCAATGCGGAAATCAACGGACAAGAAGGGTCCTATTTCGCAGGTTTCTGGCCGTTTCTTCTTCATCGCTGCTTCCTGACCACCTCTACTCTTAAATGCCGTGCGGGCGACGGCACTGTTACTGCACTATCAAAAGTTGGATCTGTAACCATAGCCCTGCGAGGACTGAGTGCTTCAACTTTTTTGGCTTATCGACCACAGTATCAATACCGATTACCGATGCCAGACGAATGAAGTCTCGGTGGGCCTAAGCAAAATAAATGATTATAGGACACACAAGCGCAGATGACAGTCACCGTGCTATTACAGTTTTTCAGAAGTACAACTCTGTCAAACCCGATCATGGCTGTTCTTCTTTCGACGGCGGTACATCAATGACTTGGAGAAGTTTCATTTCGTCTAAGAATGCGCGAAATCACCGCCATCGTTGTTACGCATTCTGTCTACACAGATGTCCTCTTGTTGGTGGCTACATATTGACACCATTGCGCACCCTCTTCAGGACAGCTGTTACTGAAACGTTTAGCCGGCGTGTTTTCGCAGGTGCCACGGCGGCATCTCTTTGCAATCGCCTCCCTCCTCACAAAGAAGTGTCCTGCGTGCAACCCTCTGGAACCGGATGAAATGTTGGGTTCAGCTGGGCTTTTACAAGCTTTCCAGCAACTGCGATTTTGTTCTGGCTAAATTGACAACTTCAGTCAACTGTCGCGAGATGTGGCACGTACTCTACATTCATCACAACGAGGAGAAAATGTAGTAATGAGTCACAATGTGCTGATTCGAGGCCTTGTAGTGGTATGGGTGGTATTCGTGGCGACTCTTTAACGGTTCATCGATCTGTCGTCATCAATTGTCGCTTTCCTTTCTAGTGATCGCATAAATCAGGTTCGAGTGTCGTCGCTCGATCAGTATCGAAACTCAAACCGCGCAATCATTGGAACCGCTCAAGGATGTAACATAGTTACTGTAGGAAATGGATACGGTCGTTTGGGCTTGGAGTCCCAGTGGTATATGTTTATATGCTATAACTTGAAAATTTTATTGGAACATCAATGCCTTTTTGAAAGCCGAAAAGAAACGTCATAGTCTTTATATCAATGACGTTCTTTAAATTGTAGAATGAGTTATATACACTTGATCATTCACCAAGTGATTTCAGGTACGATTATGTTCACTGTGGGGGCTTTTAGAAAAGTTTGCTCTGAAAACCTTATTTAGAAAATATCGCAGTTTGTTAGTGGGTGTCTCACCAGTGTCAATGGCTTCTCATCTGATTTCGCTCCAGTAAGATGCATATCTCGAACGGTTTCTTACCAATGACAATGAGTTCTTCCCTGTTGGCGTCGAAACGTTTCACGCGTTGTTTGTTGGCGCTGATGGTTTAACATTCCCATACATATTTCCCCGCACCACATACGACATGAGCAATCGGTACCGAGACATTCCTAAATCAGCTAAGCTGAACGCGAATCAGAAGAAAATAGGGAATTGAGAACGATTGGCGAACTGAGTCTTCAACATCGTGATGGTTCAGGTGACGCGAAGGCCAGAGTGGAAGATTCTGACGGTGAAAATCGTCCGCTCGAAAAGAACCTGAAAACGCGCCGCACAATAACCGCCGTCATCAAAGCTATTCGACAGTTGCAGCGGACAGTTCTGAAGCTGTAGTTTGGAACAGATCACCTACTAGCGTTGTTCCACGATTGAGCACATCAGGAAAAGAAGCTCTTTAATTTACGATTTTAATTTTCGTTTTTTCGTTTGGGGCGGAAGTGGTGTAGTGGCAAGTGGCACGCTTACCACGCGAGCGGTCCGGGGATCAAATCCTGGGTCGTGAGTCGCCCGGGCCAACCAAGCCTTCCATCCCTCCGGGGTCGGTTAATTGGTACCAGACTTGTCTGGGAGGATAAAAACACTGACTTGTAACATCGGCTGGCCCCCGCAAGTCATTGTATAGGCCACATCGCATTCAAACGCCACTACGAATGTACAAATGGAAGTAGAATGCGTGCCGCATCCCATTGATCAACGGCAAATGCTTTTTTTATTTGCTTTATTTTCGTTTGGGCGGAGGTGGTGTACAGATAGAGGGATAAGGGAACACCAAACGCATATTTCTGGGATCAGAATCTGCTGAGGACGGCCAAATATCTGCAGATGGGCGATAACTGATGGTGAGGGCAAAGCTCTGCTTGGCGATCGCTTGGAAGTGGGTGAACACCACAATTTAAATCTATTATAAGAACAATGTGAAGGTGAACAGCTCACGAAGTTCTCCCTTAAAAAGCTCCAGCGAGCGAGTGCTCTTATACAGTCTCTTTCAGCTTTGAGGAGGTGACGTACTTGGTCGAATGGGCCCATTTCATTCGTGCCCACGGGGTGCAACACTTATGCGTCCTCTTCCTAATCGGACACTCTCACTGAACGAAATCATATTGGGATATATTAATTGTGTGAGATATTAGGAATTT